CGTCTAGGGCTGTATAAGATCTGTCGAGGGATCACCCAGGCGAATTTGGGGTAATGGAGAATCAAAGGCAAAGAACATGAACAATGAAATGGAAACTGCGGCTATGGACTTTGGTAACCCCAACGACAAGAATTAGGGCCCTACAATAGTCAAATTATCTTTATAGTATGGGACCCTAATTTGGGGAGTAGGACATACCAAAATCCTCCCATCATGCAGGCGCCTATTGTAGGGCTCTCAAATTGGGACCCATAATCTGTCCGGCTCATCTGCATGGGGGCAGTAGGAAAGACACTGTTGTATATCGGAATTTCCATGGGGCTTCCAACATACTAATCATAGCTTGTGTTCCTTCCTACCCCAGGGTCCTTGTAAGGAATCCCGCCAGCACAAAGGCTTGTTCGGCCACGGCTGGGCCTACGGTACAAGCCTGCATGATGGGCATGGATGGGTTCTGATTCTTAGCCAGGAATGGAGGAATGGAAAAGACAGTAGGAGATAAAATCTGACTTGGGGTTCAGGGCTTAGGAGTTGGGATTCCCGGTTTAGGAGTTTAGGGACTGAGGGTTTGAATGGTAATGTACAAGGAGTCGAACTTCTGCTGAACTCATGTCAGCGACTTTATTAGCAACCGTTCAGGTGCTGCTGTCACGACTGTTGTGAACATGGATTCCCACACCCCGTCCCCACACCCGCACCGCCACCGCCGCCGCCGCCGCCGCCGATGATTTAGCATTTCAGCGGATGCTTGTCTTGTCGCTACCGCTGAAGATGATCACTACCATCGTGAGCATGTGGTCTCACGGTGAGACCCTCGCGCCTGCTTTACGCGTCATATCAAGTGTACTGCTGCTACTCTTGCATGTTGAATTTCAGACTCCAGAAGACTAGACTTCGGCTATGTGGGCGAGCTTTGGGGTTGAGGGTTAAGGACGTGCAACCAGTGCTCCACAGAACCTCGTGATGCTTAAGTGCCCTACGCTAGGATGAGTCTGTCAGGGGGGAATATCACCAACAAAGATCGCTTTTGACTGTGCCAGTTAGCTTATGTACCTCAACCCCTCAATTACCATGAGAAAACGGTAAAACATAGGGGCCCGTTCCTGAGGATCCATACCATATGGATTGCTATATATTGAGGTTCATATTGGAGGCTCTACATATGGAAATCCCCATATTAGAAGATTTAGAAGATGGCCCAGCTTTCACTTTTATGGATTTTGTTGTTGCGCGAGGGATCTGGTGCAGTTCAAGGTCCTGGACCCGACTTGGAGGTTAAGGTCTAGGGTTTGAAGTTTAAGGGTTTAGGGTTAAAGGGTTTACGGTTCAGTGTTTGGTGTAGGACTCGTAGCGGGTTGGTTATACATACCCCAAACATGGCCATACCCCCTCATGGCTATAGATATTCATCTGAATAAACTAGAACTTCAACACAAGGATTCCGTCTTCCCGCATGCCCTAGAATGCCTATTTCCGCTCAGCAATGATGAAGCTGCTTACCCCCTAATCATTGAACAATACTTCCCCGTCATATAGCTGCACTACATTAGGAATGTTTGTCGTTAGGGGTTGGGGTTTGGATTCTTCAGTGCGAAGCTGCAACAGCTATTACTCTATCATCATCCTCTATTACCTAGACCCCCAATCCCAAGTAAGGTTCCAAATAACCCTTAGTCAAGGGTTGTCTGGGTGTTAATCGGGCCTTATACGGGTCGGGAAGTTCGGCTTTCGGGTGGTATGGGATTTTGTGACAACTACTACTGGGCGGGGTCGTAACCCCACCTAGGCAAAAGAGCCTAAATGTTGAACCCTAAAAGACCCGCCCTGCATGCTAAAGCACAAAGACCCTCAACCCCATACCTTCAATCCGATGCCTTAACCCAGAGCCTCATATGCTAAACTGAATCCCCAATCCCAAGCCCTAAACCCCCAACCCCAAACCCTAAACCCTAAACCCCTAAACCCCAAACCCCTAAACCCCTAAACCCCAAACCCCAAGCCCAAACGAGGTAACGGCCTGCTGGAGCCTGCCGCGGCCGCGCGGGAGACGTCCCCGCAGATGCAGCAGCAGACTTGAAAGGAGGCGACGTCCTGGGGGAAGGGTTTAGGGCTTAAAGAATCATTTGGGGGTTAGGGTTTAGGGTTTAGGGTTTAGGGTAGGGTGTAGGACTTAGAGAGTCGGGGGAAGGGTTTAGGGCCTAAAGAGTCGGGGGAAGGGCTTAGGGTTGAAAGTCTTCTATCTTCTTTTCCATTTGATTCTCGAATATGGGTTAATACCCCTGTATAGCCCCATGTACTCCTTTGAATGGGACCCAGGGTTTCCATTTCATTTTCCCTTTACCGACACCACTATTGAGCCACAGGTCCTTCCCGCTCGCACAGACCCGTCTGGCTTCTGCACTTGCTCGCAGACCTGCTCGGTGAGACAAAGGCTTTGGAGCTTAGAGAAGCTAGGTAAGCACATACCGGCAGTGTTTTGAAACAGCAGTAGCCTTACAGCAAAGACGATCAGATATTTCTAAACCCTAAACCCTAAACCCATTATAGTAGTTTCCATTTTCTTTTCCATTATCCCTATATAGCCCCTATATAATCCCTGTAATCCCTATATAACCCATTATTGTAGTTTCCATTTTCTTTTCTATTATCCCTATATAACCCCAATATCCTGGTCAGAACTTGGGCTCTCCCCTCACTAATCTGGGTTGCTGTCAAGGAACTTAAATAAAGTTACCATAATGGGTATATGTAGTAAATAATAGGGTTTCCCCAATATAGTAACTTAATTTAAGTTCCTTAACAGCAACCCAGTAAATACGTCAAAAGTGGGCGCTCAAGCAGGCTGCTCAAAAAGTACACCTTCCACACTTCGTAGCCTTGATGCACCGTTTAGAGGGGCACAACTTTTTCTTTTGGATTTTTTTTGCTCTGTTTTGTTGGATTTTTTTCCTGCGACCTGGCGGGGTCATCGCACGACTGGGCAATCTATTCAGCTATGAAAGCGAGAAATTTGGGACGCATGATCCGTTTGGGCACTGACTTTATTGGGCTGTGAAACAATCTGGGACGCAGGTGAGTGATCTACTAGGCCGTGAGAAAACTTAGGACGCAAGCGAAGGATTTGATTACTCATGGCAGTGAATAGTCTGTAAGGAATTTTGGGATGCGGGTAAGGGATTGGATCATTGTGGCACTGAACGTGTTGGCCTGCGACAACTTGGGACGCAGCGCTGTGAGAAAATGAGTAATTCTGGGGGTGAAGCTTTTGGGCTGCGAGCTAATTCGGGACGCGGGTGCGGGATTTGACTAATTCGGGCTCACGCTCTTGAGCTCTGTGAGGAATTCTGGGATGCATGTTGTAAAGGATTTGATTACTAGTGGCGCTGTATGCAACGGCCTGCGACAAAATTTGGGATGTAGGCGCGGGATTTGAGTGATTGCGGCAGTGAATCTATTGGGGTGTGTAAAAATTTGGGTTGTCAGAAAGTGCTGTGAGAATGGGACGCAAATCCTGGCAATGAACTTATTGGGCTGCGAGAACCTTTGGGATGCGGCCGCGGGATTTGAGTAATTCTGATAGTGACGCTCTTGGAGTCTGTGAGGAATTTTGGGATGCGGGTAAGGGATTGGATTATTGTGGCACTGAACGTGTTGGCCTGCGACAACTTGGGACGCAGCTGAGGGATTTGAGTAATTATTGTGGTGCATTTCTTGGGCTGTGTTTCTGGCACTGACTGTCTTGGGCTCTGAGCAAATCCAGGATGCCGGTAGAGGGTTTGAGTACTTTTCTAGGAGATCCCTTTGGGCTGTGAAAAGATGGGAGCATAGATCCCGGCTTTGCGTAGGAGACAATGTGGGATTGAATTAATTCTGGCAGTGAACCTATGGGCTGAGACAGTTTGGACGACTGCAAAACCCTGATTTCATTCAGTTTGCATCAGGGAAGGAATCCAGTCGTGGGATTTGATTAATTTGGGTATGGTTGAGGACATGTCCAGCTGGGAGATTTGATTAAAATCGGGGGCAGAACACACAAAATGGTAGCGGGATTTGGCCTGGGAGATGTCCAGCTGCGGGATTTGGTCAAATCGGTGGTAGAACGCAGAAAAAATCCCAAAACAAACAGACAAAAAATCCAAAAAAAAATGCACCCCGTTTAGAGGCCTGCAAACCCCAAAGCAGTGGTAAGGGTCCTCAATACGCACTTCGAAGTTCAACCTGAGTTTGGCCTATGATTTAAGGTCTATAGTTCAAGATTCAGGATTTGGGCTTCTGGAATTCTATGTCTTGAAGTAATTGGGGCGCTCCTCAAACACAAATCCGAACGGCTCCCCTAAAACGAGGCCCTTTGAGATGCTTACCATGATTGTCCAAAAGGTTATTACCAACTTCAAGCAAGACTGTTCTAGCAGTACTATCCCTAAACCCAACATGCAAATCAAACCCTAAACCCAGGTTGCGAAGGGTACTGCAATGGTTCGGCATGTAGGCCGAAGATTCAACAGCTAGTACCGCCACCATCCCGCAAGCACACGTTTATCAAAATGCATCGCGCCGAAACCCTGAAGCCAAATTTAGCACAGCTAGGTTTCCACAGGGTTGCCCCAGATGCCCTGGATTCCAAATAAGCACGGATAGATTATGGCTCATATCCACCGAACATACCAATCCAAGCGACCGGTAATGGACCGGTAAACTTAGCAAACCCAAATTGCAAAGTTTGAGTTCCTGCTGTGTTGAGACAATAACAGATTTATGAAAGGGGAAATATGAAGAGCTTCGCATACTCGTTTTAGAACTTCAAGCTAACAGTTAGTGGGGGGGACGAGTACAGGCCCTGCAGCATGATGGCTTCGCCCTGGATAGGAGATCCACCAAGGCCACTCCCCCCAAGTTGGCTTCTTCAACCCCGAGATCCCCACATGATCGTGTGATGCCCCGCTTTCTGTATAGAACTGCCCTTGAGAGCGCGTGGAGTTGTTTTCAGAGCGCTAAAGTGGTCAATTGATCTCATTTAAACACTTCTTTGGCGGCTCGGTGGGCAAAAAATCCACACTGGCCAAGGGTATTGAAAGCTCCAAGCCCTTTGTGTGGAGAAACCAAACTCCCACACGGTCTTTATCTGGATAAACTTCCATGACCTTCCCCTCCTTGCCAATCAAATCTGCGCGTGACTTGAGATGCGTCACCTTCACCATGCGCCCAAGCAGCTGCGGACCCACTTCCTCTGGGTCATCGTCATCCTCCTCCATGTCCTCCTCCTCTCCCTCCTCCAGGTCCTCCATGTCTATATCGCCCATGAGGTCATCCTCGCTCCCTTCTGCAATCTCGTTCAGCAGGCGTCCGCTGCTATGAAGCTCTTGATGCACTTTTGGTCCTAGGTTCGCATTCCGACAAGACAGGGTGAAATTCGACTGCTTGGCCTGGGTCGGGAGGTTCCATTCTGCCTGACTCGAGTGGCCCTGCTTGAGAAATTTCAACACCCGCAGGTCGTAGTTAGCATCCAAATTTAAGATCTCCACGCGCGGAAGGTAGAAACTCAACTTGTCCACGCAATCTCCACGACGGAAAGTGAAGTCCGTACAGTTTGGCAGGTACAGGCTAGGAATAGTCCCCTGCCCAGTATTTGTGCGCAAAGAATCTGCGAATCCTAGGACACTTCAAGATAGAATTGGCAAAGAGCTTCACAGGAGGGCAGTGGTTCTCCATGACCAGCTCCTCCAAGTTTTCCAATTCAATGCCCCACTTCTGGTCTTGGCATTGCGGGTCTATCAAGGTCAAACTGCGAAGCTGTGGCCAGCTCTTGAGCTCAAAGTTTTTTACCAACATGTGCTGCACCCAAAGCTGGGTGACCTGTGGCAGGTACTTGCGGACCAGTTGGCAGAAGTTTTTGCAGTCAAACACGGGATCTTTCTCACTCCAACCGGGCACAGGGTACAGGTACATCTGGGTGATGCTTCCTGCATGCTGCAGCTTCTTCAAGACTGAGTTTTCAAAATGCGCAGGGCTTTTGCCTGCAGCACTCCTGAGCACGAAGAGGGTATGCTTGTCTTCGATGAAAGCATGCTTCCGTTTCTCAATCTCTGTTTCCACCGGGTTGGGATATGTCTTGACTCCGCAAGCTAGCATCTGTGCAAGCTCTGTCGCCAACTTCGCATCCGTAGCTTTGCTCATGCTAACTGTTCGAAACTGTGGCGAGGCATTCATGGCTCTCCAGGTCCCTACGCGATTTTGTGGTCAGTATGTTAAACGAAGTCACATCCTAACGCAGGAGGTGCCTAGAGGAGGCTGAAGTCGGGGCGTTTAGAAGTATAACTTACCAGCCCATGCTAACCCTGAAGGTGAGAATTCATTAGGGGACCAAACAAAGCATCCTGATGTGGTAGTTTCCATAGGGGGGCCCAATATAGATCCCAAAATATTACAATCCTTACTGTGGGACCCGCAAAAATGGTACCCGTAATTTAGGTACTCCCATACTCACAATGGCAGATTGAGGGATCCTTGCAGACACAGAAAACAAACATCGGGCCTTTGACAAACAAATTTTCAAGCATCCTGATGAGAACGTTTGAGCAAGATGCCAGACGCGCATGGCAGCAACAAAGATAATGTTACAGCGACTGTTTCCGAACCTAGGCTCCAACATACGATTATCCTTCTTACAGGGACTGCCAGGCAGGGGTGTGAGGCGTCAACTTGACTAACTACTGTGCGAGGTAGGAGGAATGAGAAGATGCTTCCAAAGCTTTGAAGTTGCAACGCCGGCCAAGGCTCTTAGTTTCTTGGACTTTCTCTGTGAGGCATACTTTAATCCCTTGCTCAAGCCCAGCGCCTTGATCCCGTTCCTGTATCCTCACCTATCCTCCCCCCAAACTAGCGGAGACCCATACAGCCCCGTTTTTTCCTTTTGAGTTCCACCTTCGTTTGCGGAAGGGTTTAGAATTACTCTGCTATCAGCTGTGCCGCCAACCGCACACAAGAAGCGGAATCCTCTCACATGAGTGGACCGATGACCTTCATACCCCAATGATGCTGATATGCCCTGGGACGCTCACAAAACATGGCGGTTGCAGCCACAATCTAGGAACTACTACAGCCAACATCCAGCCTCACTCCATTTCTTGCCGCCCGTGCCTGGACCTAGCACTGTGACAGCGGTTGAGGGTTTAGAGCTTTGGGTTTAAGGCTAAGGCTAGGCGTTTAATTAGGGTTTTGGGGATTTGGGTTTAGGGATTTCGGCATTTCGGCTTGGTTTACTCAACCTCATAGGCTTCAACGGGCTTTGTACAATTTGTTCTATGATGCTCTTTGTAGCAACAGCAACGTTTGCCTGCGAGCCGCTGCGAGGGATGCCGAGGTTTAGGTCTGTACACGGATATATGTGGGTATACAACAGTATCTACGGTGATATAGGGTTACATAGGGGTGTACAAAAAGGGCTCATTAGGCTATACAGCGGCATACAGCTTTGTAACGTGAATTAGGGGTATGTAGGATTTCGAATTATGCGTTGCCAGCAAGCATTGGAAAGGGAGCTGTCATGTAGCTAACAACGCAAATCAACAATGCCCCAAATAAGGTTTAGGGCCGTTCTTGGGAATTTCACATGGCAATGATATTTGCCGTGTGCCATCTAATCATGCTGGGTTGCTGTTACGCTTCTAAACTTAAGTTACTACAATTTGGATGTATACACGTATATAATGTACAACACCCCAAACCCTAAACCAAAAATTATGGTATCCAAATAGATGGCAACTTTTGCGTTTCCGAAAACTAGGAGTACCTTCTTGGGGTTCCCTTCAATAAGAACTAGAATATATTAGGGTCTATATTGGGGCTCCCTCTTTTGCGAAACTACTGCTTCACTTGAGCAGCGTTTTTTTTGGTGGTTGAAGCTAGTAAGATTCTAATCCCTACACAAATTACTATACCCCAAAAGGAGGATATAATCTTACTCTATATTGGGTACCATAGTATCCCCAAGTAAAACAACCCACCAGCTTGAGACCTGGACTTGACCGTCCAAAGCATCAGTTCTAAGTTCTAAGCCGAGTGCTGGCACCCCACGTGGCTTAGGCTTGAGGATGTAGGATTCGGCTTGAGGACTTTGGGTTTAGGATTCAAGCTTCAGGATTTAGGGTTTAGGATTTGCTTAGGATTCAGAGTTTAGGATTCAGGGTTGAGGATTAACTGGTTTGGGGGGCTGAGGTTTTGGAATATAAATACTGATACTGCAGCTCTGTAGCTCTTATGGAACCTATCAACCTACCAACCCCTAAACCCAAAATCCGAAACCCCAAAACCTGAATGAATCGGATGAAGCCCTGAGCCTCCCAGCCTCTGCACCTTGAAAGCTCTGCTCCAACGATTCAACCCCCATGCGAGCTACAGTCTAAATTCCTTGAGACGGGGTTATATACGGGATTATATGTGGGTTTACCACACAAGATTGAGGGTACCTTGTTGGGAGTCCCTATAATAGGGTTATAGTATTTTGGGGTTTATATTGGGATCTCCCTATTTAGGGAAACTACCATACGGGGTTCGCATTGTAGTAAGGGGTATACTAGAAGTTTAGACGATGGCTCATGTAGCCACCAAAGCGGCACAAGGAAGAATGACATACCTGAGCCTGACAGACAGACCAGAATCCTCATGCCATTCGTTACCTTTACTACAGTTCCTACAAGGATTACGCCGGACATCAAAAGCTACGTTAGGATTTCTGTGATCCCTTCTGGGGGCCTTGTTGTAGGCATGATATTCAATTTTGGGGTACGTACCGGATCCCACCATGATCCAAGCCCCAGATCCTAATCCCATAATCCCTACAAACTTTTATAGCCCCTGTCAAGGGACCTAAGGGCTACAACGATACCTCAAACCCGCAGCCCCCAAAACCGAGTACTGGGAGGGCTCTGAGGACCGCACGCTGTGGCCCCTGAGCCTTACAGGCAAGAAGCTGGAGAAAAGGCATCGGGATATGGTGCAGTTCGAATTGTAGAGTCCAGGGTTTACCTTTTTGGACCCTAAACCCTATATAACCCAGTATAGTAGTTGCCATTGTATTTGCCATTATCCCTATAATTGGTGTATAATCACTACATAACCCCAATATAATCCCCATGTACTATAGTAGTTTCCATTTCCTTTTCCATGTTCCAAATACAATCACTTGAGTTGTATTTTGTTGGTGGTTGAACCTAGTAAGATACCATTCCTTATATAAAAAATTATACCCCCAAAAGGAGGATATGATCTTACTCTATATTGGGTACCATAGTATCCCCAACTAAAATACTACTCACTTAGGCTTCGGTTTGCCTTCTCCACGTCCCACCTCAGGGGTTTGGCTCTGGAGCTTGAAGCTGAAGGCTTGGGTTCAGGGTTTGAGGGTTTATGGGATTAGGGTTTAGGGTGTATAGTAGGATAGTGGAAAAGAAAATGGAAACTACAGGGATTATAGGGGTTATATAGGGTATATATTGGGTCATATTAGGGCTGTCTAGGGATAATGGAAAAGACAATGCAAAGTACTATATTATAATAGGGTATATATTGGGATTAAATAAGGAGAATGGAAAAGAACATGGAAGCTACCATATTATAACAGGGCAATAGAGTTCGTTAAAGTCTTTAATGTCTGAAAACTCCACGCCATTCAACCCTAAACCCTAAACCCCAAACCGTATTCAATTCGGGCGTTATGGCATCCGGGGGCTTCCAAAATATCATGTCACTCCATCAGGATTCACTTAGGCATACTTATCCCTAAAGAGCCAAAATTAAGGGGGAACCTGGGGGGGTAGCATAGAGGTGTAGTGCGGGGACCCATGAGAGTATTCTGGGGTACATCCCTAAATCGTCAACCCTAAACTGTAGCTTCGAATTTCTTTCCCAGTATGCCTATACAACCCTATATATCCCTACATAACCCAATATTATGACCATATATCAGCCCTCAAAGGCCTAAACCCTAAACACTAAACCTTAACCCCTACAGAACCCGAATAGTATCCGTATATAACCCCATATATACCTACAGAACCCTATGTTATACCCCTGTAGAATCCTAATAGGAAGCCCTCAAAAGCCGACATGGGCTCCCTGCCACGGGAGCTGCGCTTGCCGAGGCGGTGAGCGAAACGTCAGAGCTAGGCCGCAAGGGGCCTGCGTTCGCACCTGGGCAGGGCAGGGTTTAGGGTTTACTGCTCAATATTTAGTGTTGAGGTTTTGGGGTTAGAATTTAGGATTTCAATTCAAAGCTTGGGGTCTAGGGATTAGGGTTCGGGGT